CTTGAATACTTTTCATTATCTCCATATATTTTATCAACCATAGAATTTACGAAATTATGACTTTGAATGGGACTGTTGACATTCTTGTTTCATATCAACTTGTTTGTCAATAACTTTCCTCATTTTAGAAATTATCTCTATTTTGAGTATGCTTTTGCATATCAAATTAACTAGGAGAGATAAAAACCCCGTTTGTAGGTAATAAGTGTTTAATGTCATCAGGTTTTAATAAAGATTTTTTTGTTTGTTACATTAATAAAACAAATGAGCCAGGCTCTGTGGTATCTTTTATTTCAAGCTCACTGGGGTATATCGATCGTGTCGAAATATGAATAGAAATAACTATCGTTAATTGATGATACGTCCTCTATATATCTAAATGTCGAGTTGAAACCATACCATGTATACAAAAGGTGTTTTTTTTCTGTTCAGGTATGAGATTTTGTACAAATTCTTCATGCGATTACAAAAATGGGACTGCTTACAACGTGGGGCAACTACTACCCGTGGTACAAACAGATTGTTGAACGACCTTATCTTTACAATCTGTAACGAAGCTCCCTCTTTTATATCTTTTTTATTTTGTTCAATTTTATTGAAATTTTGTGATTTCAACTTTTCCAAAGGTTCCTTCGAATGTTTGAGTATCCACATCTGGTTTTAACCACTCCTCAAATATATTGTTGTACAGTACTCCCGAAGTTTCCCCACTGCTATAAATATTTTAGAGAAGAGTAAAGAAAGTCTGAGCTTGGTGGTTATGTAGATAAAAAAAATACTGAATCCCGCTATGTATCTTCCTTTGCAAGAAATTTATGAAATTTCGACTCCAATATAGTTATGGTAATCCAAATTCATTTTACTTGTTTGGAATATTACAAATATTCAAACCTGAAGAATTTTCTCCCCAGGAAGGAAGCTATGGGTATAAGTTAAAATTACCACTTGTAGAATTACATCACAGATCCCCTAAACACAACTAATATAATGAGCCTTACAAACAATCAAAGTACTGAAAGTACTGAAAAGCGGTTAGCATGCTTTCATCTAATATGTACCGAAAAAGTGCATAAAATGATGATATTTAAGTATGCATATCTTTGTCCAATGTCATCAGAGAAGAAAAACCCAGACATTCTGTTTTTGTAATACTTTACTCAATAGTAAAATCAATAACATTCCAAACTGATGTCACAGATGGATGCAATCTAATTAAAATTAGATGTTCCGAATCCGCTACTGCTTCTCAAACATCTAACAACATCCTATTTGGGGTCATGTAAGAGTGAATCTTCGATTAGGCAAAGAAAATGGTTCCTCCGAAATCCTGGCTAATAGTTCAGATGGGTTTCTTGTTTTCACCACCCAACCAAAACACCCGAGGAGTTTTGAAGTAAAAAGATATGCATTGCAAAAGTTGTGTTATGTATGACGTGTGGGGTATCTTGTATAGTTTGTGCTCTTTCGTTTGCATTATTCACGTTTAGATGCCAGACTGCAGAAGATACATGAAATTTATTCCAAAATTACTTTAATTCAACGTAAGACAGTATCAATAATGATGATATGTAGCCGTGGAATTAATTTGAGAACTGTTTACCGAGGCTTGAATCTACATGGCCAAAGTGTTTGTGTTTACTTGTACATGTATTCATAATTGAAAGGTCACTCTGATGTGACCCCAAATGGGATGTTAGATGTTTCAGAAGCGGTAGCGGATTTGGAACATTTAAATAAATTTTAATAAGATTGAAATGCATGTTTCAAAATTTAAACATGAGATTTCTTCAGTTTGAAAGACAGGAAGTGCATTTTTAAAAATTCTCTCTTGATGGCATCCAATTGTTCTCTGGATAAAAAAAAAATTATGTTGATGTTGAAAATTTCATTGTCTTTTATTCTCTATTGAATCTGAAATTAGGTAATTGTAAAGCCTACTATAACAAACAACTAAAAAATGACAAGTTAAATTCTTTAGATTAATGGATTTGGAGTAGTGTAGATCTACAGCTGGCTAGTCAGAGAAAAAAGGATGGCTGAGGAGAGACTTTGTAAATGAATTGATATCAGAGAGATTCAGTTGTGTAGGCTCATCGCGGCAATATAATTAACCTGTCAACGAGGGATGCTTACTTTTTCTAGGCAACAGATCCCACCTCTTGAACTTTCAGGAGTCAGCTTTTCTTCTAAAATCGATCATTGATCATTCTGTATTTTGATACAGATACTGAATACTTCCTTTAGTAATATTATAAACTACTACTTCTACGGGAAGACTGGCGAGTAAACAAGATTATCAAGCTTTATGAAATATATTTTATTGACTTTTCAAACAAGTAAATGTTCGAATAAAGTAAATGGTATATGAGAATCATTTGAAAGAAGTCTTGCACAATATAAGGCACAATATCTAGATAAGGACATATAAGGTGTTTTTATCATATACTCTTCATGCAATATTGTTCTCAAATAAAACATGAAAAGGAAAGTTGTGTAATCAATCAATACTAGTATTTAAAAATTCAAATGTACATTAAAAATCAGTGTAACTTAAGAAGTTATCAGTGTCACTTTCTTCAATATGTCGGTTAAACAATATACACTGATTTCTTTTCTATCAATGTGCCTCTAAACACCTGTATTTTAATTTTATTCTTCTCAAACGTTTAAAACAATAATCGACAAATTGGACAAATTCAAATTTTAAAAGTATTTTCACAGCTAATAATACGTTCCCTAGGAATTGATCAAATTTTCAAAACTTATAAATAAGCATTAAGTATAAATTTTAAATTTTTGCTAATTGCCGAAATTTTTCATACCTCATTCTTCTGTGAAAATAATATCGGTTGATTTTTAGAAGAGGATCACAATGCTGATTAAAATTAATATACATGTATATTTCTCCATTTTTTTTTCAAAATTGATTTTACTACTTTAAGTGCTCCATTATTTTTTACAAAACTAATAGTAAGTAATCCCTTATGATCGATTAGATAAATTATCAAAGACGGAGTAGTGAATTTATCCCTGGGAGCAAAGCTTTTATAATCTGTTTATTAGACAGAGAAGAAAAGAGAAGAAAAACAAACGTTTCATAGTGGAGGTAACCCTATTGTTTCCATAAAACGTTACAAAAAGTGTAAAACTTACAGATGCGTTCGGTGTTTTTTATAAAAGCGCTTTTCAGGTATTAACTTAATAAATGGTGTTTCTTAATACTTTGGCGAGGAAAATCAAACTCGATCGAGAGATTTGCTGATGTTTTTGCAGTCTGTAATAACCTCCAACCTGCTGTTTAATAAACTTTCAAAAATAAACTAACAGTTGCCAGAAATCGCGATCGCGCGATACACATGTAATAAGGACCAAATTCTCAGTTCTTAAAAGTAAGTGTAGTAAGTATTGTCAATGCTTTGGTAAATATACTAATAAGAATTCGATATAATCGTTATAATAGCCACTCTTCATACACAGCATATACTTCGTTAGTACGAAGTGATATAGTAGGGGCTGGCTTTAGTCAGACTTCACAGCATATTGTCAATCTCTAACCAGGGGGCGTATTACACCGACAGTATACAAATCATTTGCTGAAGTTACCGTTGTCGATAGGTAGGTCCTTGTGGAAGTTTCCGGTTTTGGTTGCAGAAGGATAAGGTTACGAGCGATAAAGCGATGCCGATAGGTAGCGCCTTATGGAGGTTTCCGGTTGCCGACACATGCCATATAGCGGCTAGCGAAGCTAACCGCTTAAAAATGGTTTCTTCTTTGTTATATGGACCAAGTACATAACACTGATTGTGTCATGTATTTTTTTCATCCGAATCATAATGCCGAAAGATGCATAGTTTTCATGTTGCCTTTCAATCACTTATGTGAGATTCTAACATACATTTAATTGATAGATACATGTATAATCCATTCTGACAAAGAGCCAATGTCGTCTTTTCATGTCTGGCAAATTGCCTGGTGTAATTTTCCATAGAATTCATAACATTTTCGCAAGTTTGGTCAATAGAAGTCTTATGAATGCTTTATATAACCTGCTTTCAAAACTTTTAACTTGTACACTCATCTAGAAAATTTACATTAGATCGAACATCAGAAGCAGGCCTGGTATTGTGCATGCTTAGATGCATCATCCATGCAAGTTTGGTCAACTTAGGACTTAATTACAGTTACTTAGAATTAAGACATCCACCATAAAGTATAACCTGTTCACACATCAAGAAAATGTAGGACTGGCCCCAGGATCATGAAGCATCTTAAGCTTAAGTCAAAATCTTCATGTTGTACTTAAATATTGTGGAAGTCAAGTGGATCAAAATTAAAATCTGTTTAAATATCGATTCACAGAAGTTCTGTAAATAGCAAGTTTTGAATTTAATTCAGTAATTAATATTTTATTGGCATTTGAAAATTTGACTTAAGTCTAAGTCTGTTTCATGATCCTGGGGCCAGGTCCAGCGTCAAAAGCAAGCCTGGTAGCGAGTATCCTTAGATAAAACTTTCATGTTAAGTTTTGACAACATAAGAGTTCAAACTCACTTGGAAATGAGACCTTCACAATAAACTTGAACCTTTTGACTCATCCAGAAATTGTAGGTCAGACGCAGCATCAGGAGCAAGTCTGGTAGTGTGTACCTTTAGATGCATCATCCAAGTAAGTTTGGTCATCATACGGCTCATAGTTACTTGGAACTGAGACTTGCACCTGCTCCAAAAGCATTAACCTGGTCATTCCTTTGCTGAGATTGCAGCATCTGAATCTTGGACTGGAACAATAAAACACATTAGAAGCATCTTCCATGCATCTGTTGTCAATACAGGGCATGAAAATACTTATAAAGAAAACTGCTCCCAAACCCTTACCTGGCATGCCAACACCGGCGGTATCACATAAGCTCCCCCCCCCAACTTTGTTGAGGTAAGCTAAAAACATAATGACATGCTAAAAGCTACAACATAACCCCTTTGTTTTCATCCACAATAAAGTCTTTTTATCATTATCTTTTATTTTAAAGTTTAATTCAAACAATACATATAAACTACTCTTGAAAAAGATAAAATCAATGAGTAAACCAGTATTGTTGTGACATGATTTCCATATCAAATGATAGATATAAACATTGTCTAATCAAACTGTACAAAGAGCTGTACAAATTTTATACATATACACTTGTACACACATATCAGAATCCAGTCTCCTCCTATTTATACAACAACACACAATGATAAAGAAGTAAGGGGTTCCCCTAGTGTCAGAGTCTGTGAGTTATTGTATAAAGAAGTCGGGGATTCCTCTAGTGTCAGAGTCTGTGGCATCCTTCAGTTTATGTTTGCTCATTTCCTTCTCCTCTCTGTTAAATTTCTTTGTGTACCCCTCCGTGATCCCAGCAGGAAAATCAAAGGTTGTACCCTCCTACAAAACAACACACAGTGGATTTAAAGGTGTGAGCCTGTCTATATTGATGTTATAGAATACATCAATATCAATACAATTCATGTATTTAAGGAATGAAAGCTATTTCAACTTATGTTACACAAGACAATTTTTCCTCCAGAAAAAAAGATTCAAATTGAGCATACTGTATGTGTATTTAAAATAGCTGGCTTCATATATTAGCGGCTTTGGCACAGAGGAGGATGCGCAAATTCATGAATATTGCTAAGAATTCATTTATAAAATAAATAGAATATGCGACATGAACATGTGTAGCGCAAGTTCATGATTACACAAACAACTCCATATACATTGATTGCGCTAAATTTTGAATAAGTCAAATTTTGTACACATACAGTATTTTGAAAGTAACGTCAAGCTTATAAATATGTTTTTGACGTAACTCATTGTTACGTAGGCAATTTATCTTATACAAAATGGATTAAATCTTTTGTAAACCCAATCGGATGATGTGTTACAACTAAAATTAAATTATATCCTGACATTACTGTCTGTCCTTATAAATTTAGTATTACGTATTGTACTAATGTTATGGTCGATTCCTTACTTAACACATGTACTTTATTTATTTTGTGAAATGGCCATTACTAGAGTGATTTTTATGTGACATTTTTATAGATATTTATGTTATTAACTCCCTTTTTCAAGTCTTACTAATATTAATTCTGTTCTTATTTAGTGTATTCATGTAAATGTCTGTCCTAATTACTGTAAAATCACACATTTTCAAGGGGTCAAATTTTTGTGGATTGAGAAAAATATATTGGTTGAACAGGATTTGATTTCGTGGTTGAAAAATATATGTGATATATCATGTGAATTAATTAAGGAATGAATCAAATAGCTACCCATTTTAAAACTGTTCCAACCCCCAGTTTATACCGTATAAAATGGGTAGCTATTAAATTCATTGCTTATAATTTAATTTTCATTCATTTGATGTAAGAAAAAAAGATGATTATTCACACAAAATGACTTGAATGTAACGTCAGGCGGATTGATACATTTTTGACGCAAGTCATCGTGACGTAGGCAACCCATTTTATACGATATAAAGTAAATTTTTTATCCAATCAAATACAGCATTACAACCAGAATTAAATTATTTTATGTGAAAAATTGCATTTCCTGGCGAATATAAATTGGTGGGTCTCTTTATACCTTGAAACCCATGAAAATTTTTGATTTCACAGTAATTGATACTTATGTTTCTTGTGTATTAGTAAATTTTCTTTAGTTCAGGCAAGCTAAAAATGGTATACAAGCCACTCACCAGAGTAACATAGGCAAACTTTCTATCAAAGTCGGTTGTTATAAACGTTGACCTCAGCCAAGATTCATCAATGGCTCTCTCCTTGGCATCCTTTCCTACAAAATTAAAGCCATATCTCAGTTAAACATGTTTATAATAATAATCAGCTCTATGTATTTCACTGATTCCAGAATCTACATAAAAACAAAAACATTTTTTAAACCGGTTTCACAATGAAAATGATATCTCAATATTTAAAACAGTTCCTAAAACCAAGCCCAGTAAAAACCTTATTTTTCATTTAAAGCTAAAAGGAACATTTCAATAAAACTAGGATCTTACTAAAGGAGTTTTTAGCACTTCATCAGACTAAAGCCAAGCTTTAACACCAAAAGAATTTGAAAAGAAGTTTTACCTTCAGTAAATAAATAGGAAATCAGCTTTTGGTTAACTCTATTAATCAACAGTTTCTTAACTTTCTAATAAATTCACTCAATAAGAAATATTCGTGACTCAACAATTCAAGTGCAATCAATTAAGTGCCACTGATTTCAGTTTCTCATTAAACAAGATTCTTGATTTTTTAAATCTTCTAGTCCAACCCAATGCATCTGGAGCCAAAAAACCTAAGTAAACCTTGCATCTAAACAAATTAGCAATTTTAGGGTAAATACATGCTAATAATTCATTTTAAGAAGTGAGTTTTTTTTTAATTTAAATAGACCTGTCCTTATTTTGTCAAGTACTGTATACAGTGAAACTGATCAAAAGGCATGTAGTCCAAAATTTCTTTAATAACATGCTTAATGCATTTTAATTAAAACTGATTGACTCAACTAAATTTATTTCTTTTTCCTACATTTTGTTTTATCAAAAACTTCACAAACTTTGCTAAAATTTCTCTTTTTTACACCTCAAGCTTAACCAGCTGTTCTCAGGATTCATTAATGTCATTGTTTTAACTCTCAGATCAATCACAGAAAACTTCAAACAAAGAACATCTCTAGGACAGTTAAGATTTGACTTGTCTGTGATATCCCCTTACCCTCTATTGTGTACGTTCTTATCTTCAACACTTTGACTTGATATATCTTCTCCAAGTATTGCTGAATGTCACTTTTTCCCATTCTAGAAAGAAAAAAGAAAAGATAAGTCAGTGTCTAGATTAAGTGTCTAATTAATTCAAACGACATTTTAATATGATATAAACAATAAAGAATTCAACCACTGGCATTACCTATATTTAGTTCTCTTCAAAAGAATTTTAAGGATTATAGACAAGTCCATTATCCACAGATATTAAACATTTACCATTTCATACTTTAATCAGGAATGCTTTTCCTTTATATTTCAATATTGTCTTATTTTGTATGCATAATTCAGAGTGTAAAATGGTATTCAAGTTAGGTAAATAAATAACTAATAAATAGGTACTTTTTTTATTTTATGCAGTGTATTTTGTGACTTTAGATTTGGACTGGCTTATATTACATTCAGTTGGACCTGCTGATCAATTGTCCACTTGTTAGTTTAAATGACTGGTTATCTCTCAAAGATTTTCACAATTTAGAATTTCTGACTTACTCTCTATGAACTTCAAAATGGACTGAGTTTGGAGGTGCCCTGTTTCTTTCATCTCGTAAGATTTTCATCCAGAACTGTGGCAGAAATAGACGAGTTTGTGGGTTTCCAGGCCGATAAAGAGGATACTTTGGGGCAGGCCTCTCCCATAGTGGACTGAAAAAGACCATTAATTAATAGTATAATGAGCTATAAATATTCAAACATTTACAGAGACAGCTAAGATTGCTATATTGAATGGGTAATATGATATATTATATCTCCATCATTGGCATGCAGTATAAATTTTCATTATTCAAAATACTTAGAATTGTAAGAATTTAAATATTAAGCCCAGCAGGCAGCACAAATTGCTGCTCATCACTGCGGGCTCTTAAAACATTGCTGGGGCAAAAAGAAAATTCAAACTTGCATTCTGATAAAAACAACTTTTTTCCCGCAGTTACCCGTGGTCCACTAATCCTTACTGGAATGCATTTTTCCGCAAACTATGTTCTTGCAGTAACAAGAGGTTCCAAGTGAAGAAAGAAAAAACACTCCTTGATTTAAATGGATATTTACTATTTAGCAGATAATAAATAGTAGATTGAACGTTTCTGATCAAATTTGGCTCTGCTCAGATTTCAATGTAGTAATGCAACAAACGTACGATGTCATAACTTACTCTTTATGGAGAGAACGATCATAGGCATTTATGCTTGCTGTTCAATCCATTTCTATGAATAAAATATATATTAAACTAATAACTTACTCGTAGAATATAGCATGTGCAGTTTGAAAATGCTGATTTAAGTTGACTATCGGTGTTTGGCCTTAATCATAGTTAATGTCGCACCATCAACATATTAAAATAAAATGTATAATTCTAATGTAACCTAATTCTAATCTATAAATCTATTGTGTTACGCTTAACGTATTATAAAAAAAAACGCAATTGAAATTATTGATATTTAAGAAAATGATAAAATCAGAGACATAAAAATTCTTAAGTTAAAGAAGTAAACATTTAAAGTCAACTTTCAAACAGGACAGGGGCATTTAACCCCAGCAAGGCCCTGCGCATTCACCAATTTTGATACACCTATGAAAGAAAACATCAATTGCCATTTCCTGTGGTCAACATATATTTTATATAGAAAGTTAGAAACAAGGGTCCTTAAAAATTCTTACATGTTCTTCAAATGTCGAGAAAGAGGTCGCAAATCGGGTCTTTTCCTCATGTCATCACAGTCCTTTTCGCTTTCTGTTGGTATCCAAAAATTATCCTTCACGAGGTTCCGGTTTGCGGTTTCAGGCTAGCTCGTTCTTACACATATTCGTAGAAAAAAATTCTCAGTTGTTTTCAGCTTAATTAGGCTAATATTCAATTCGATGAGTATATACTTATGATAAGCTATCGTATTTTCATGAGGCAAAGTATAAAAATTTGTTTTGTCGAGTGTAATGCGGAAATTAATCGCCATGGAAAGTGAAAGTAAGTTTCAAGTAAGTGGAAATTTTAGTGCGCACCGAGTCAGGTAATATTTTGTCATTCAAGAAGCGTCAAGAGGAAAAAAAGAAAGTGAGATATTTATTATACCCCTGCTCTGAAGGAGATGAGGTATAATGTATACCCATGTGTTTTTGTCCGTCTGTCCGTACCAATTTTTTGTCATAATTTTCTCAGCCGCTGCTTGAAATTTGAATATATGTCATATGGTAGAATTTATTTAAGCATTGAATTCATATTTTTGGCTGTCTTCGGTCCTATAACACACCTGGCCGTGCCGACAAATTGAATACCGCGCGTTAGCGCGGTATGATAAATTTGTCGGCACGGCCAGGTGTGTTATAGGACCGAAGACAGCCAAAAATATGAATTCAATGCTTATATTTACATTCTCTAATTTTTGTTCTTCATAATTGCTTATTTCGTTATCATTTAATGTGAATTTAGCGCCCTTCAAAACTAACGTGGTTAATAGACGTAAGAGCCGTTTGTGACGTCAGATGACGTTAAGTGACGTTGCAAAGTTAAATTACGCAAACAAACATTGCGATTAAAAAAGTGACAAATTAATTCTTAACGCACATTACGCTAATTTCTACGTTAATTTTTCAGGGTTGTAGTTTTTCATTTAATTGAAATAAAATATTTTACATTTTGGTGTTTCTAGAGTATTGAAAATGCATATATAGTTCCTACTGTGTATTCTAACGCGCGGTGACAAGGTTTCGCGTGTGTTATAGAAATTTGAACGTCCTGGATTTCTAATGGATTTGATAAGGAAAATTATACTGAATGTAAATATTTTTGTTTGAATGTGTTGTTTTAAAGTGAATCTATGTTTATTCACATGATTGTTGATTGATTGATTGATTTAATTAAGCATTGAATTAATATTTTTGGATGTCTTCAGTCCTATAACACACCTGGCCGTGCCGACAAATTGAATACCGCGCGTTAGCGCGGTGTGATAATTTTCGGCACGGCCAGGTGTGTTATAGGACCGAAGACATCCAAAAATATTAATTCAATGCTTATATTTACATTCTCTAATTTTGTTCTTCATAATTGCTTATTTCGTTAATCTTTAATGTGAATTTAGCGCCTTTCAAAACTGCCGTGGTTAATAGATGTAAGAGCCGTTTGTGACGTCAAATGACGTTAAATGACGTTGCAAAGTTAACTTACGCAAACAAACATTGCGAGGAAAAAAGTGACAAATTAATTCTTAACGCACGTTACGTTAATTTTTACGTTAATTTTTCAGGGTTATAGTTTTCCATTAAATTGAAGTAAAATATTTTACATTTTGGTGTTCCTAGAGTATTGAAATTGCATATAGTTCCTACTATGTATTCTAACGCGCGGTGACAAGGTTTTGCGTGTGTTATAGTAATTTGAACGTCGTGGATTTCTAATGAATTTCATAAGGAAAATCACACTGAATGTAAATATATGTTATTTAACGTCCCTCTCGATAATTTTTCACTCATATGGAGACGCCACCACTTGCTAATGGAGAGGCTGAGCTACAAATTTTATCTTAAACTCGGCACTTAGGGCCATTCAGCAGTAAGGAATCTTTTAAAGTTTTTCATGCCAGCACCTACTGCGACACGTGACCTCAGTTTATAAGGTCTCTTCCAAAGGACCAAGTCTCGATCCACTTCCCACGATGGGATTTGAACCATCTAACCACTGCATCTTGCACATGAGAGTACATGTATATTCACATCAGTTTGGGGTACAACTGGTGTAACAAGAGAGGGGGAAAATGCAGTTGACCAGAGGTGGATTAGAACCTGGGACCCCTGAATCTCTAATGGGTCCTCTACCAACTGAGCTAGCTGGATCACCTGCTATCAAATGATTGTAAGCCAATGAAGAAAACTTGTCTTTGTTTTCAAAGTTTATTCCAAGTTTACAATTTCTCCGTGATCATATAGGTTTTTAGTTAATAACGGACTTGTAATCAGCATAGACCAATACGTACACTTTGTATACGACTGTTTGTTAGATCCCAAATATATAAGAAGAGCTTAGAACTAAAAGTCCGAAAATTAAGAGTCCAAAATATTTCAAAAGAGTCAAAGAATTTAGAAGTTAGTCTCGAATTTAGAATAGAATAGAATGCCGTTTTCCGGCCAAACAGGGTATTTTGTACTCAGAGGGTATTCATGGTCCCGGATGTACAAAAGTACTTTCCCTTGGCTGTCTTACCATTGCCCTGCCACCTACGCTTTTTCCGTAGGTCTGTCCGTTGATCTATGAACCCCAACATGGCACCACCCTCAAATACAGGTAAACATACGTTAGTAATAATTATGGATTCAGTCCCGATGATGATCGATCTCCGCACCACAGGAGTTCTAGCACTAAGCTCATTTACTTATATCTACTTCAAAGTTCCCAGTTTTATTACTTTTGATCAGGAATCTTAATAGTAACTTTGCATTTCCGTTCAAATTTTATTACTTAGTATCGAAGGACTGGATTGGTCTATTCTGATCAATTTCCTTACAAAATGATTTACAAAATTATAGTTCATTGTACCAACAACAACATCCAATTTTTTCTGATAAAATAATTATAGTTCATGGAATTAAAGTCTCTTTTCCAATTATAAAGTCACTGTATGTGGTACACTTATAATGTACATCCTTGTTTAATAAACTTTCATTTTATTTTACTACCATTAATAAGTTCGCTATTAATAACTAAAATGATTATGATATTAATATTGTTTAAGTTTAAAATGTTCAAACAATATGTCTGTGCTAAACCCTATAGGTTTACATGATCTGACCGTCATATTCCTCCCCCTTAAGATGCCAACCCAGTTATTCCCTGGCAGGTCTTTAACTTGTCACTTCCAGGGTGTGGCTTTAAAGGTAATGGGAAAGGATAGAAATGCAGCCAACCAGACCGGGATTTGAACCTGGATTCAAAATATCGTGGGGTTCAATATATTGTATGAGATCGGGGTCCTCAGAATATCCAGTCAGGTATCACCTGAGCTAGCTGGGCCACCAGTGATCGAGTCCATCAGACCGCAACACTAGTGAGCAGTGGCTAACAGACTTAATCTTGTATTGATTAGACCTTTACCTACTGGTGGATAGAGAAGGAATGAACCTCACTTCCAGACTTCATATCCATTTTATATAAACCTAAGCACATTATAATGTCATTATTATTTAATTACTACTGGAAGAAAATGAAAAAGAAATAAACAAAATAGTTTCAGCACATGTTATGTGCCAGACATTGGCACTTTCCTGAATAATAAATTCCACCCATTTATGATTGTTCTGTGTAATATCCTTGTTTCTGGTTTCATAATTAAAGTGCACGCTAACACATGTGAATCAGGTACAAAGTGGCGCTTTGTACCATTCACTTGTGTTGTGGTTTCTCACACCTTATCCTTTTCTTATTTTGGCGATGGGTACTAACTATCTACATACAATCATGTAAGACATATGTGTTATCTTATACCTCCCTTGTGTAATAGACGAACCTCTGATGTTTTTTATTACATCATGTGCATGGAAGTGTAACGGGAAAGGAGAAAATGCAGCGGACCAGACCGGGATTTGAACCCGGGCCCCCTGAAACTCCGGTCAGGTGCTCTACCAACTGAGCTATCTGGCCACCGGCGATCGAACCCGGCTGACCGCCACAGAAGGACCCATACCTAGCCTTAACTGTCTTGTACAACCCATATAATTCAAATAGCCTTCAAGGGGAGCTCTTTGATTTTTTGTTTCATTCAATACTTTTTTAAGCTAGAGTTGTCTGACATGGATATAGACCACGATACGGATAGATATCCATTTGGAGTCAGTAGGAGATACCAGGGAATAGCCCTCGTGATCTCTAACTTTACCTCAGGGCCACACAAGAGGAAGGGGGCCAATATTGACCTCAAGTACATGAACAAAACATTCAAACGACTAGGATTTAAAGTAGATTGTCATGAAAATTTAACAGCATCCGAATTTTTGTCACTTTTGAACTCATGTAAGTACAATTACTTATAAATTGAAACACATATAAACTTTTATTTGTTTTCCAAATTTAATTTAATTTAAATTTAAATTTCTTGCTTTATGAATCAGAATGAGACATTTTTTTTTCTCTTAATCTGTTTTTTAATCAATATTGCATATTATGCTTTTTTGATTATTGTTATTTTTTAGATTCCAAAGACAAGAGTCTGAAAGCGTATGATTGTTTTGTATTTGCTATCAGTTCACATGGGGTTGAAAAAGAGGTGAAAGGAAAAGATCAAGTGGTCCATCATCATGCTATACAAATGTTTGATGATGAATACTTTGACACCCAAAAGGTTCTGGATTACTTCAGCCCTAAAGCATGTGAAGCACTGAAAAACAAACCAAAACTGTTCTTTATTCAGGTATTGAAATGAAAAAAATGTTCATGTTTTTTTTTTTATCCTGGGAGAAAAGTAATCTAGAGTAGGCAACAGTCTTAGAAAGATATTTCAATTAGAAATCAAGGTAGACAACTCTATGAGACAAATATCTCAGGGTTTGAATTATCAAGGCTGAAATTTTGTATTTCCTGTAATTTTATTTGATAATAAGATTCAGGTAGTTCTTACTTCAACCTCTCTTCAAGTCCAAGTGCAACTTTACTTTTCCTTTGTTACAAGTTCAAACCAGGGACGCCCGTGGGGATCCGGGTTAGAATAGGTCCTCAGTACCCCCTTGCTTGTCGTAAAAGGCGACTAAATGGGGCGGTCCTTCGGATGAGACCGTATAAACCGAGGCCCGTGTCACAGCAGGTGTGGCACAATAAAGATCCCTCCCTGCTCAAA